AAATGAAAACATGGCTGTACGTTGAAAAGACTGATCTTCCTCGCGACCGACCAAGGGCGGGGACAGGTACGCGAGAAAAGTTAAAATATATTATTTTTAATATAACATAATATACGTATTGAACAAGAGTGATTCGTTACTGCTTTACGCCCAGTTATTAGTTTATGGATATGTTTTTGTATAATTTTATTTTACATGTAACACTTAGTGCATTTATTTGGGAAAAGTAACTGATTTCATTGTTTTTGTGCGATTAGTCACCACTATACAGATTTGACATTCTAAAATGGACTTTTCCAATAAGATACAGTTGGCGCAAGTTTTTGTACACCGAAGATATTTTAGTGGAGATATTTTTAATCCGGTTAATTTATTCCTTTTTCTTTAATTCATTATTCAGGAAAGGAATAATTTTCAATTGATGAATACATAATATAATCTACTACTCTGCTTTCCGTGGCGGTTCTAAGACACTGTTCTAAAGATTATATGTCGCAATTGTACATCTTGTAGACCAGTAAAAAGCGCGTGGACGTAATCAATACATATCAACCTAATGGGGTATGCCATAAGTTCTTCAAGTAACATAATTGTTTAATGTGGACATATTTTATGTATTTCGAACTCGTATCTTCTTTCAAGTCCAATCGATCGCGGTCTTTTATATAGTCTTGTGTCAGTTCTCTTTTTTATGTCGTTGCGATGATATCTACATTTGTGGAAGATGAAGGTCCCGTTTACGCTTTGAAAGTATTTCAAGAAATCTTGGAACCCTATGGAATTTGGCCAAATAATAGTACTCATCAATTCGCTATGTGGCGATTCATTCTTGTAATGATCTTTCAAGTAGGTAAATGCATTCCGTGTCATATTGCTTGCAAAGTTAGATTTTAACAATTGATTATAATCCTTCGTTATTTCTATATTTTATTTTGACATTTTGGACGTATAACAAATTTGCAACCTTCGAAATGTAGAATTAACTTGAAATCTGTATGCAGTGAAGGCTCCTTAATCGCGGGTTCGCTATTCACGTTCTGAGTAGTCGCAGAGAAAATATTTTTGACTTCTTGTTTATTTGTGGTTGACAGATTCGTTATTTATGGCGTTGCGGTAACTGTGTGTTTGTACAAACACGATTTGACATTTTGTGGTCTGTTGCGCAGTTGTCCAAATCAGGACTTCACTGTTCAAAACCAGCTACATCCTGTATTTTTTGCGGACTTCAATGTCCTTTTTTCTTAAATACTCCCACACGACACACTCACGTATAATATCCGTATATTTTTGTATAATAAATCTTGGTAACAGTATGGAAGTATTTTTATGTATAGCATACGTATAATTTGGAGGTATACATAAATCGATAAGTCTGCTACACTTATACTAGCTGTATACGAAACGTATATCTATATATTTTATCAAAGCATGTACGCATTTTGGAGAGTTAATTTAGACGTATCAATTACGAAGTCTTTTGAGTTAGAAATCAGCTAGGATTTAAACACCCAGTAAGAAATTATGGTTCGCCCAGTAAAACAAATGAAATGCCCAGTAGAAAATGACAATTGTACACTAAAATACAGCACAGTAAATAAAATTTTAGCTTAGTAACTAGTTATTTATCGCACAGTCTCTAGGAGGTGCACGTTACTTTTAGTTACCTTAAAGATGGTTACTCCTCCTATCAGTACGTGTATTTTATGAAGCATAAATCTGAAGCTAAGCGGAATATTGGAAAATATATTTTGATAGCCGAAAGAGGAACTGGTCGTAAAATGAAAATCTTGCGGACAGACAAAGGCTTGGAATTCCTAAATCAAGAGGTTAAAGAGATCGTAGAATCTCAAGGCATACGCCATCAGCGCACAGTTATATATACTCCAAAATAAAATGGGCGACCAGAACGAGAAAGTACGACCTTGGTAGACGCTGGTCGTATAATCATCCAAGGTATGCAAAACCTTTTGAGCACAAGCAGTTAATACTGCTAGTTATGTGCCTACATAGAACAGGTATGAGTGAAAAACAAAGCACCTTATGAGCTTTGGTATCAAAATAGTCCAAACTTGTATTTTTTAAATAAATTTGGATGTAAAGTTTCTGTCCATATGTCTAACGCTAACAAATTAATGTGGGATCTAAAAAGTAGAACTGGAATATTCCTAGGCTACTATGAGAATGTCAAAGGTTTCAGAATTTACATATCAGAAAAGAATAAAGTTGAAATTCCAAGAGGCATTATATTTCTATCAGAAAGAAGTATGAAAAGCAAAAAAAAAACATAGAACAAAACATAGAAAATGCAAGTAAAGAAATTATCATAGAAAATATGATAGAAAACAATCCAGAAGATGACAGTCATGAAATTTCAAATTTAGGACACAGAAATGATGTAGATCTGAATGCGGAGAGTGGCAATGGTTCAGGTGAAGATGTTGAAGAAAACGACGGGCTGAGGTACAATTTAAGAGGAACATAAAAACACCTTCCAGATTCAATGATTGCGGGGTTGACTTCGAGACAGGCCTTGTACCTGTCTGTGAGGAAGATGAGCCGAAAACATATGATGAAGTAATGGCAAGTAATGAGGCGAGAAAATGGAAAGAAGCAGTGGAAGCAGAAATCAGTACGTTGGAATAAAATGAAGACATGGCTGTACGTTGAAAAGACTGATGGAAGTGAAGTCATACAATATAAGTGGGTGTTCTGAAGAAAGAAAGACAAAATGAATATGTTGCGATGTATAAAGCGCGCTTAGTTGCAAGAGGTTTTCAACAAGTTAATATCTCGTTTACAGACATTTATAGTCCAGTTGTAGAAGTGCCGTCAATAAGGGTGTTCTTAGCTTTGTGTAATAATTTGGGAATAATAATATACCGGATGAATGTGTGTAGCGCATTTTTAAATAGAGAAATAAAATATGACGTGTATGTTTCTTTCCCTAAAGGTTTTAACGTGAAAGACGGAAAAATATGCAAGCTATGAAAATTCTTATATCGGCTGAAAAGCTCACCCAAGAATTGGAATCAAAGATTTCATGAACTAATACTATCTTTATCATTTTCTCGTTCCGAATACGAATACTGCTTGTATGTTAACACTATGACGTCCGGTGGCTCCACGTTTGTGCCATGCAAAAACTATCGGGTAAGTGCCGTTGGTTCCACGTTGGTGCCACGAAATTATGTAAGTCAGTTGCACCGGCACGACACGAAAAAATCTAGATTAGACGCGCGGACGGCATAGTGTTAAGATTACTGAATGTTATAAGATTTATATTTTAATTTACGTTGATGATTTGTTATTAGCTGGGACAGATGAAAATGAAGTTAATAACATAAAGCATATTATGAGTGAAACTTATAAAATGAAAGATCTAGGCTAAATAAAAAAGTTTTTAGGTATAATTATTTCTCAGGATGTTTCTGAAGGTAAGATAATAATAAACCAGTCAAAATATTTACAAAATGTTTTAAAAAGGTGTAGCATGCAAGATTTTAAGCCTTGAAAAACACCAATGGATGTAAACTTTAAACACGGGATATTAAAAAGATATAAGTCAGAAAATGATATTGAAAAGAAGTGTCTAGTGATAGATTCTCTTGTGTGTATACAACGCTTTGTTCAAGGCCTGATCTTTGCATAAGCATAAGCATTTTAACTAGGTATCAGTAATGTGCAAGCCAAGAACTATAGCAATCAATTAAAAGAGTTTTAAGATATGTACAGGAACTCTGAAATTAAATCTAGTGTTTGTCAAAAAGGACACTCAAAATGTAGTCAAAGGTTACGCAGATTCAGACTTGGCAGGCGACAGGGTAGACAGAAAGTCTACAACAGGATAGGTTTTCAAAGTTTTTGGATCTACAGTATCGTAGACATCGCGTAAGTAGTCTACAGTTGCCTTGTCATCGACCGCGGCTGGATATGTTTCGCTAAATGTAGCAGTAAATGACGACTCTTGGCTATAGTAGTTCACTCATGACTTAAAGGTATACTGGCAGACATGAATGCCTTCCCATTATGCACTGGCAACCCATATTCACAGAGAAGGCATTCATGACCGCCGCTGTACAAGACAATTATGTGTGCGCAACTATCTTCGAAGATAATCAGTCGGCTATAAAAGTGTACTAAAACCCAGAATTCCATAAGACGCTTATAAACACGTGGACATTAGATTTCACTTCGTAATGGATAAGATTAAAGGAAACGCTATTGGTGTAAGGTATGTGTATTGTAATAAGCAACTGGCTGATAGGTTTACGAAGCCTCTTAATTTTAGTTTATTCCGTAATTTCTGTGTAGTTTTAGGTTTGCAGAATTTCGGCTTAACACATTGACTGCCACGCACATTTCATTTGACTGGTATGTCACCCAAATATGGGTGACGTGGCAGTCAACGTGTTAAAGAAATGTAAGAGATTCGCCATTGAGGGGGAGTATTGAGAAACCAATGTTGGTATTGGAGGCAATGACAAATCTAGTGGTTTTTGGCTCTCATCGGTCGGTTTTTGTGTTTCTTTCTCAGAGGCCCTATGGCGGTTAATGTTTGTTAGCGGTTGATTTTTGTTTACGGTAACAACGTACATTACTTTGTGTCCGTAAGTTTTTCCATGGTACAAATTAAAGGCTATACGATAAACAGTTTTGACGAGTTTCTCACTGACATAACCCGCTACCTTTACAGTTACTAACTCATTCATGTTCCGATTTATAATTACGTATGATTAATTGTCATTTAATTCTTTACGAATGCGCGTCTGCACAGAGTCGCTCAAAAGTTCTCACAAAGAAAATGTCCCGTCCGCAAAGGATCAACATTCCGTAAAACATTTAGTGAGTGTTTATCAAACAAACAATTCGAGATTTTCAATACCTTATTCAAAAGGCTTTTTCAAGATGAAAAGAAACCGTAGTAAAATCAGAATAAAACCGTCATGTAGCATAAGGATTTAACTTTCCAACAGACGAACACTGGGTGTTATATGGTTTTCTTTATTCAGTTATAAAAGTTTAAAGTCAAACGCGCGTTTTTTCCTTTAATCGTCATGACTCGGTCGAAAACAAATCGTACAGGATTCTTAAAAGGTAAAATAGAAAGAAACGGTGTGCTCTTGTAAACTATGGAGTTCGTTTTTCGAAAACAAAAATCGATGTCAATACAGGCTCCTTCCGATTGTTGGCCAAAAATNCTCGTACGCACAAGACATATTATGCGCGCCGCTTATAAGCGGCGCTCGTACCCACAGGTCATACTGTGCGCGCCGCTTATAAGCGGCGCTCGAAGCGAAAGGGTTAATCGTCATAACTTGGTCAGAAACAAATCATACAGGATTATTAAAAGGTAAAGTTGGAAGAAATGGTGTGCTCTTGTAGACTATGGAGTTCGTTTTTCGGAAACAAAAATCGATCTCAATACAGGCTCCTTCCGATTGTTGGCCAAAAATTAGCTGATTTAAATTAACAGAACTGTGGAATGCAGACTCCATATTTCAATAACTGAATAACAAATGTGTCATATGTTGATGTGGGAAGTTATACATGTTTATTTCGTCTAAGAAGCAAATACTGATCAATTTAATAACAAAATAAAAAATTATTTGCGTAATGGTAGATACATAAGTAGAACTTATTAGAACTTCAGAGTTGAAGTTACATATTTTCGAAGGTTCTAAACAAAATCGAAAATCTATTTTCGGAATAGAAAACCGTAAGCTAAGCAGTGCGGAGCATATTGCGTGGAATAAGAATTCGAAGTTATGGTTATGTTAGATCCATGTATGTTATTTAGATTGCATCTTGTTTTTATTAATAATTACACAGAGCACCTCGGCAATGTATTATCGTAAATGGTCACTATAAATTATTGTCATTCTGTATCAATAGAAACCTTATATTTATGTTCTTTTCACACATATTTGTAATGGGGCATGCGCCTTAATGTATATTTAATTCTTTTTGTTTTTACTTATGTTTAGATTACAGCCGTGATAATGGAAATTTTGGAAATCCGAAGTAATTGTCAAGAAAAAGAAGACACTGGTTTAATTCTTGTAATTCTCTGTGTTTATGTATTGATTGCTTGGAAGATATTTATTATGCGCATTCATCGTGATGTTTTCATCCAAGACATTATTAACGGCGTAAAGAAGGATTGGATAGAACAAACGGATGAAACTTACCGCGATATTATGCGGAAACGTACTCAAATGGGGAGACGTGTATGTTATTTTGCAATGTTTTCCACTATGATAGTATGTAGCTTACATGTCACCTTGATGATGCCACTCAATAGTTGGATTGAAAATGATGATACACTACGCCAATATCCTCTTTTAACAAGTTGTATTTTCAACTCGGTATCTGATCCAGTATACAAAACTATGTTCATTTTTCAAGTTGTGCTGGTTTTTGTGACTTGCCCTACGTATGCTGTTGAAGCTTTCTTTCTTGGTATCACCATGCATCTTTCTGGTCAATTTGAAATTATCAAACTAGAAATCCATAAAATTGGGCATGATGAAAAGGTCAATGGCGAGAGCAAGAAAATAGAAGCTATTATTAATAATCACATTCACCTTTTGAAGACTTCTATGTATCTTGAAAATGTATTCAACAGCCAAATTCTTTTACAGTTATTGACTAGTTCGATGCTAGTGTGTATTTCAGGTATGCTGTGCTTTAAGGAATTATTGTAGTTTGATCTGTTGTTTCAAGTATTTCTTAATCCATTCTTGAAATCATATTACATGACGATACAGTAATATGAATTCAGGAACTGTTAAATTTATACTTTCAAATGCTACATAAAATTAACTATAGCCACTAACAGAATGTGATCATTCTAATGCGTATAAAAACTAGTTTTATTTACAAACAATAAGGAATTCGCATTTGATGATTGCTATCTAATACGCTTATAAGCATTCTTGATATTGCTAAAACATAATGGTAACACGTATGCATATACAATTAGCCTGGAATGATCGTACAACGATGGCGATATTGTAATATTATCTATTTCAGGATATCAGCTTACTGCTTCAGTGGAAAGTGGAGACGGCGCTATGTTGGTTAAGAATATAGGCCTTATAACTGTCATGCTGTTGCAGCCACTTATATATTGTTTTGCTGGTGATCACCTGAGCAGTCAGAGTGAAGGAGTGAAACATGCAGCGTATAATTGTCAATGGTATAATCTATCGGCAAAACATGCTAAAGACATATTATTCATTATACGAAGAGCTGATATTCCAGTAAAACTCACAGCTGGAAAATTCGTTACAATGTCTTTAAGTCAATATCTAGACGTTATAAAAACAGCCGCCTCATATATGTCATTCCTTCGAGTTACGTATTCGTAAATATTGCAATCAAGTAGTTCACCAGCTTAATCTCTGTAAAAACTGAAAGAAAGAGATACACATAAACTATATAAATAGGAAATTATTATATTCTGAGTTACAATTCTCAAGAGGCGTTTAATTTGAGATCCGTTAAATGCGTTAAACAAAAGTCTTGACTTTCTTTTTCCGTAACTTGTGTAATAAATAATTTCAACAATCTGCTGTGTGGCATATTTATCTACCTCACTAACGTCAAGTGATTTCGAAGCAAATTTAGATTTCGGGGGTTCGATGATTGCGCCACGATTAGATCCCAGCTCTCGGCTGGGAAATTAAGTCCGATCGGACTGGTTCGAGGGAAAAATAGAATGGCAAATAAGAATGACTTAATCTTTTTAAAACGCAGTAATTCCTTTATTTTGCTGCGATGGGTAGCCGGCTCTCTCGGATGGCAAATCAGTGTGCGACTGTGTCCGGATCACACACGCACTCGTTCTCAAGATGTGGTTTTTGATCCGAGTTTTCAGAACTGACGTGATCGAAACTGAGAATACCCATTTAAGCCTTGAATGCTTATGTCTGGTACGTACCTTGTGGCTTCACCAAACGGCCTCCATGGGTGAGGGATCGAGGTACGCACGATCAACACGTCAACGCTTAAGCGAAGACTACCAGTATGCTGAACAACGTCCTCACTGGTGGAAGGGAGCTACCTAAACTTCGACCAACACTACACTGCAGTGCTGGTTTCCGAGTTGTGTACTGCAACTCACACGTCGCGGAATCGCAGACGTAATCGCAATTTCCGTCGCAATCGTCGACTGCGACATCTAGCGCATTTTACACGTTGACCGCCACGTGGTCACCAGTGCAAAGCGGTTGCCGTTCACTGGTGACCACCATGACAGACAACGTGTTATTATCATAGAGTTCTTACAATTGCATTTCATTCAAAATAAAAAAAAAGAAAAAGAAAATGAATATGAAAAAAGAACACCGCAATTACGTATGATAAAAAAGTGCAGCACCGGGAATCGAACAAGTACCCTGGCACCCTGAGACCTAGCACCTTATCCATTAAGCGATCAGCCACTTCGAGATCTGCTCTAACCCATATCATTATGAGATATTTACTACATATTTAAACGATGATTTTACGAAAATTCCTTAGAGATCCGCGCTATCCATTTGGTAAATAGCTTTAAACATTGAGAAATATAAAATAATAAAGCTAGCGTTGCAGCCAGCTGCGATGTCTCGCCCCTCACCTGCTGGTGCTATGCGGTTCTGAAAAACGTTATAAATAATATTAGTCTATTCATTTTAATTATGGCATCATGTTGTAATTGTCATTGAATTACAGCGTTAGTCAATATTTCAGGGTATGATTTTATCTAGTGTGACGATTTTTCGTCGGTATATGTCAGTAGGTAAGTGTTTCTCGGATCTACGCTAGCTCTACCCAGCTCTACCACACCAAAGGGCCTATTCTCGACCTGGTAACGACGGATATCGTTATCGTTAGCCCATTGGAATAAAACGTATAATAACGATATCCGTCGTTACGAGTTCGAGAATAGGCCCTCTGACTGGACTCTACGTTTACCGACGTGTCGCGCTTTTCGATACGTCAGTTACCGAGAGGGCAGCGCCGTGCAATAGTTACGAAGTAGGGGCCGTAGGTACTCTCATATTCTCGCTGGTATGCACGGGGACTGTTCGAGCTACTCGCGTACACTGGACAGGGAGAGCGGTGTCAGGTGCGAAGTGCTTTATCAGAATTGAAGTTTATTAATACCAATGGTTTCAACAATAAAATGGGCTCAACATTAATCACCGGAGCGAAGTGATTATTTAAGAATTTAAAGTGTGCGATGGTAGTTGTATCTCAAAGATACCGCGGGCGCGTAAACTCGCACGGGAGACCGAAGGAATCTCAAACGCCGGGACGATGCTGGCCACGCGGCTGTTCAATCGAATCTAGAGTTAGGAACGAAAGTTGAGCAACATGAATGCCCCGGAGAGAAGTTTAGAGAGGCGGAGTTTTGGAAAGAAAGTTTTGGATAGGTTAATTGAGCAAACGAATTGCATTTTGGTATGCAGCCGCTTAGTCAAGGAAAAGCGAGGAAATGGAAGTTTTGTGCAGTTCCAGAGACGTGAGTGGGGTTTGCACATGCGGATGTCGTTCGAGGATTTCGGAGAAGGACCCCAAAAAAGGGACTGAAGGAACGAGGCCGTAACCCGGGGTACAAAGAGAGTCTTCATGGCCGGCGTGAAAACGTTAACAATAATCCGCTTATCGGATTATCGGATATATAATAGCAGATTGTATTTTCTATCGGAAAAAAAAAACTTGTTTCTTGAGTATCGACCTAATATTTTCAATTTTTTGTACTTATTGACCACCAACTTGGAGTCTATTGGGGCATGTACAGAAAAAAGTATATCAAATCTATGGTTCACCCTATAAATTGCTTCTTAATGGCATTCAAGGATATTTGTCACATATCTAAAATTGGAACCAACTTGTAAAAAGAAATAAATAGATGTTACTAACATAAACATCTCAAAATCGAACTGATTGGCCCCGGGTGACGGTATTGCAGTTGTTAATATTTATAAAATTTCTTCCTTTTTCGCCGATCGACGCTGTTGTCGCCGTGTTCATCGGCAGGGTAAACAGGGAAAAAGTCCTACCGCCGCAAGGTAATAAAACGATTATACCCTTTCCGGGGTTTTTACGTCTTCACCCGCTTTTGAATGACGGATTACAATACAGGCCATTACCAACTGTGGGTAGTTAAAGTATACTGGTGTGGAACGGGTTGCACTTGTTATTCCTAATAGCAGATTGTATATTCGATTTCAAAAACACTGGATGGCACAAATTTTTCTTTTCATTCATAGTATGGTTTGTCGGAAACGCAGTAATTTTTCTTTATTTAAGGATATGCGTTTGGGAAAGGAAGGTCGATTTTTCTTTATTCATTTTTAATTGTGTTCGAGTCGAATTAACAAAGTCACAACCTAGAATCAATTCTTTCTTCTCAAATAGGAATGATCATGCCACGTGTGGTCCGAAACTAGACTTCGGGTCCTGTCGCGCCTTCCAGGCGCGCCAACCACCACTTCAAGGGTCGACGCCGTCGTCGACCCCCTAGAGGTAGGGCCGTCGTTGCGACTCAAGTCCTTTGAGCTCCATTGTTAACGCACCTCTTTTCATCCGCACGTGTCTCCATCAACCCATCTGGGAAACATCGTTCGAAAGTTCCCAAAAAGACCCATGTACCTCTCGATCACGTCCGCAATTAGGACAATTTATGTCCTCCGTTCTTTTACTCTTCTTCTAGTGCTTATCCGAAATCGTCGAACGACACCCGCATGTGCAGTCCCCACTCGCGCCTCTGGAGCTGCCTAAAACATCTCCTTCTTCATTTCTCCTTGACCAATCGGCTGCATACAAAAATGCTATTCGTTGGCTTCATCAACCTATCCAGGACCTTCTTTCCAATACTCCGCCTCTCAAATTCTCTCCGGGACCTTCAGGTTTCTCAACTTTGGTCCCAAACTTCAGATTCGATTGAACAGCCGAGCGGCCATCAGCTTCCCGGCATGACCGCGTCTTTTGGTCTCCCGCGCGGCTTTACCCGTCCGCGGCATTAAGCGAGATTTCTATATCTCTAACGAGACGCAACGTCCCCACCGCTCTTATCGCTCCTCGGTGAGCTTACGACTTCGTCTCCACTACTCTTTGACTGTTACCGTACGCTAGTCATTGTTATAATTCGTTATTGTTTAATAAAACTTTGTTTCGCATTCGCACTTCACATCCACCAATATATCGCCGTTCCTCCGTGAACTATATACACTAACAAATTGCATGAATGCTACGTTGCTTTAGATAGAAATCATTTGCAGCCCTGAAAAGGGCCTTATCGCCAGTGCTTTGTAGTCCGTCCAGAACGGGCACAGAATTCGGAATCGAATCGATAAAATTTTCGAAACACTCCGGGTTACGCCGTGGCTCACCCCAGACGTTTTTCGCGTGGTCGATCAACACTGCTTTCATCCTTTCCCGCGCCGGGACCAACAATCGGGTCATCTCGGACCATACGTTCTCGATTATGTTAAGGTCTGGCGACTTAGCCAGCCATTGCACCATGTGGATTTTGGGGTGCTCCAAGAATCACGTCCGTACTTCATGGGAAGTATGGATCGCGGAATTATCCTGTATCAAGCGTATGATTGGCACGTCCTCCGCGGCATACATTGCCCGTATGCTTGGAAAGAGAACTTTTTCCATGATGCGGATGTATTCTGCGGAGTTCATGCCGTCAGAAATTTCCACCAATTCTCCTGCTTGGTGTTCGCTAACCCACCCCAATATGGCGCACGTTACCAGACCACAATGATGGTGTGGGGCGACGTATCTTGGATCCAGCCTGTTTCCACCTGACCGCCAAACGTGTGTGGTTCGGTCGGTGGACGAGTGAGAGACCTTTTCATCGGTCCATATCGTCAAGTCCGAAACTTCACGTGGCGTTAGCAGGTTTTCAAACGCGAACGCGACCTTTTGCTCCCGGTGAGAGGGTGTTAATTCTATCTTACGGGCCGGACGATGGCAACGAAGCCCGAATTCGCAAACGCGCAGCCGGCCGGTAGTCGCGGCCATACGATGGTCTGAACGAGTTACCGTTATCCGACACAGCAGGAAATGGACACTGCAGAATCGCGTCGATTAATCGACGGTCATCGATGTCGTACGTGTTCCTTCGACCGATATTTTTCCGGTAGTCCCGCTGAACATCAGGACCATCTTCTTGATACTTTCCGATCCAATTACGTACCATCTTTCTGCTGCATGGGATTGTCTCGGCAATGTGGCCCCGTACAGCCACATTCCGGTGATCATCCCGCGTCGTCCAGGACTCAAATTTGGAGCCATACCGTGTTCTCGCGTTCGGCCCACGCGGCCGTCGCGGCAATCGTTTGATCGGGTCGATCCTCTCGGCGTTATTTCTTCCTTTTTCTTTGATCCGCGGGGGGCGGGGGA